CCTTTTTTGTGCGCTAATTTTGATGGCAATACAAAAAATTCAGCAAAAGGATTCGCTGCTTTCCCGGCTGTTAAGAGATTTTATTTTTTAAATATTTTTTTATTATTAATTAAAATAAAATGACACACGGGTTTATTTTTACGGTAGAGACGGATTTTAAAGCATGTTGTAAATGCCAATTATTATTAAAATTTTTATTAAGTTCTACCTCACTCGAAATATAAGACGAAAACTTCACTATTTCCTATTTTTTCCAACTTTAATTACCAAAATTTAGTAGCGTTAATTCTCGTTATGAACAACTTCTTGTAAGAAGCTGCTTTTATTTATCCATTTCGACAGTTATATATAACAGAGGAAAAGTCTAGCGATCAGACAAAGTAGCCCTGAAGATTATTACATGTTAAACATAGCGAGCCTTAAAACGGCCAGAAACACAAAAAAATTGAAGGATTTTTCTGTATGTATGAACGTTACTCTGTTTGAGGGGCAAANTTTTATAAGGAAAGATCCGACACGTACAGTACATTACAGAGAAAACTTTAGCATTAAATATAAAGAATATTTTATTTTCTTCATCTGTTGAGTAATTTTTCCTATATGTAATAATAAGTATCTTTTCATTAAGTATAACACTGTGTAATTCTATATTTAGGCCTATGCAATAATTTGATCTTATTAGCAATGTAAAACGTTTGTAAATTGTTTAAGTTGTAATAATGTAAACGATAAAATTCTTTACTGCTTTCTTGAAAAATTAACTTTTAATAACTAATAAAATGAAGTTTTTTTATTATATTTTGCATAATATATTAGGTTAAATAAATAATTAAACACTAATCGAACACAGAGTACATCTCGTGTTTGATAAACCAAATAATTTTAATTAAATCTCTTTGATTTATCTAAAGAATCTATAAATCCCTATCAACATATACTGCATGTTTCTTCAATTAGCTTTTATTTGGTAAAAATCAAAAAAATAAATACAACAATAATATGAAATTTGTATATATATGGATTATAACATAAAATAACAGAATGAAAATATGAGGAGGTTTTGTTTTTGAAGATTACTCCTGAGTAAATAACTTAATAGTTATTTGAATTACAAAATTTTAATTATTAATTAGAGAAAGTAATAATACATACCAGAAAAATATACGAGAGAAAGCACCAACAGTATCGAATGGGTTACTTTTTTCTTTCCTCTCCGGTCTCAACTACACTTTTTTATACACTTTTCATATGTAGTATTTATTACTCATCAAACCTATATATCTATTCGATGACGTATAATATTTATATTAGAGTGTAAAGGTATTGCGTGTTATTTACGTTCAGAAAACCTTGAAATTACCTCTAGACGTTATATGAATACGAAGTTAAAATTATTGCAGCGCTATCAAATGTGATATTTTCTTTAAAAATAATTGTTATACTGTAATTATAAAATAGAAAATAAGCTGAATTTTGAGGGTTAAAATAGGTTTTTATAAAACTAAACGTAAATACTAACGAACAAAAAAGTTCCTGATTAAATTTGACCCCACTCGAGATACAAGAGGACTTTTTTCTGTCTCCCCACCCCGTTGTCTTTTAACCACAAAAACTTAATAGCATCGATGTCCTTTATACTCCCACGGGTACATATCGTTCGATTTTAAGAACTCCTTTTTTGTGCGCTAATTTTGATGGCAATACAAAAAATTTAGCAAAAAGATTCGTAGCTTTCCGGCTGTTAAGAGATTTTATTTTTTAAATATTTTTTATTATTAATTATAATAAAATGACACACGGGTTTATTTTTACGGTAGAGACGGATTTTAAAGCATGTTGTAAATGCCAATTACTATTAAAATTTTTATTAAGTTCTACCTCACTCGAAATATAAGACGAAAACTTCACTATTTCCTATTTTTTCCAACTTTAATTACCAAAATTTAGTAGCGTTAATTCTCGTTATGAACAACTTCTTGTAAGAAGCTGCTTTTATTTATCCATTTCGACAGTTATATATAACAGAGGAAAAGTCTAGCGATCAGACAAAGTAGCCCTGAAGATTATTACATGTTAAACATAGCGAGCCTTAAAACGGCCAGAAACACAAAAAAATTGAAGGATTTTTCTGTATGTATGAACGTTACTCTGTTTGAGGAGCAAAATTTTGTTTATCTTGTTTTGAGCTTATTAACTTCTGGGCTTTTCGATGAAAATTTCTGAAATTTTGCAGGATGGTTTCTCACTAAGGATCATCGAACGTGTTAAATTATGATGCTTAAAAGTCACGGGGATAGGGAAATAGGGGTCGTGTTATATCGCCAATACGATCAAACTTAATGACGATTTTACTCGTTATCAGCACTTACAATTTTTTTATAAAACTCATTCCTACTCTCAAAATTAAGTTTTTTGCCATTTTGTTATAATATTTAAAAACATGAAGAGTTTTTACAATATGATAAGAGAAGGCACCACCAAATAATGAAAAAAAGTTAAGCAACTCGTTGCCGGATTTTCGATAAGATATTAAACGAAATAGACGCCAACACACACAAAATCTTGTTTACAGATTCTCAAAATTTCGAGATTTGAAGAAATCTCCGTGGGGGATTTGAAAACTTTTCCGTGTTATATACTTAACATGGAAATTAATTAAAGTATCATTCTTTACGAAAATCATTGAAAGTAAACTCGACTAGTAAAAAGACTAAAATAAACGATCACACATCAGTAGTGTGCATAACAATAGAAAATATTACTTTATTACATACAACACTGGCAGTTGTAGAATGTATTTGCCTCGAGCAAGCCGAAAACCTGAAATGCCGTGAGGAATAATTTATGTGGCTCGCCCGAAACCTTTGAAGTTTCCTTTTAATTTTAACACGAAAAAGGTGGCTGATCATTGCTGTAATACTTTTTTGTACACAACACAATCTACTCTGTGTTCGCTATTTTCACACACTTATATAATTAATACTAAATATTTAGTAAAATTAAAAAATGATAAAATAATTATTTGCACTGACGATACCAATTCACACAGCAGGTTCAAGGCATTGGCAAAGTAAGCGTACGCTTACGCGACGAGTATGATTTTAATTCTAATTTTTCTAAACTGCATAGTACTATGCGCGGCCTGGCTGCAGCTTTTCCAAAGAAGATTTCCATTACTGTAATTATTAATTAAATCAGAGTAATCGAGGTTACATTAGGTAATATGCCGTTGAAGGAATGAGTAATAAAATAGAATTTTCGTACAGAGCAGGATACGTATATTATAGAATTGATTTGCAAGTAGATTTATCTTATCCGATGAGAAAATGGTGACAGATTTTTATATAAACAACACTTTTACAACTACGCTTCGACCTATTTATGTTAATCAGATATTAAAAATGCATTTTAACTGTTTTATTTAATTTATTTATAATTTTAATGATCAGTTAATTTAAATGACAATTCTTACGATTGTAACAAATGGTTAAAAAATGTACAAATATACAATTTAAGAAATTTATACAAAGAAATTGAAGTTTTGAAGTCTTCTAAACTTCCCTTCATAGTCGTTAAAACACAATTTTATGCGATGAAAATTTCCCTGTCATCCGACGTAACACAGGCGGGGGAAGAGTCTATACAACGAGATTAACTTCGATGCGATTGATTGCGTTCTAGAAATGGCGAATAGAAGTTTTTCTTTTTCTTTTTTTTTTGTATGAGTCTTGAATGTTGTATAATTTGTACTTTATTTAAGCATATATTTTTTCTTACATTTTTATTTTATTTTTATAGCCAACGGCACTCTTTTCAAACTGCAGTTATTAAATAATAATCAAATATCGACAAAAAAACCTATAAATGCAGCTTTTTATTAACTAATCGAACATTTTCGTCTATTCGAATGACCTTCCTCAAGAATAAAAATCTTTTTGTATTCCTGATGAAGGTCATTGAAATGGCGAAAACGTTAGATTAACTTAATAAAAAGATGCATTTGAAACGATTTTTTCGATGTTTAATTATAGCTAATTTCTTTTAACATTTGAATGTAGTTAATCACGACGAATTTGTTTCAAATAAATAACGCATTGGGAATGTTTTAAACCAATGTACCAGAACATTTATTGAAATCACTCGAATGATGAGAATGTCATTTTATCTGCACCGACCGTCACTAACTTTAAATTTCAAAATCGAAATAGTTGCTCCTAGCTTTTACCTTCTCAGCTTGTTACGTATATAACGTGGGAAAGTATTGTAATCGTGTCAAATTCGACCCTCCTAGATTCTTTTTGGCAAATCTTGATGTTTTTGCATTCCAAATATTTACTTGGCTTAGACTTTTTTTTCGGGTCGGGGGTCTCAAAATACGCGTTTTGTAGTACATACATACGGTACGTAAAGTGCGAGTCCGTGTTTGGATCTGTTTCGTTTGATATCTCGAGATGAGATGATGATTAAAAAACGAAATTTAACATTTTAGCTTGTATATAAAGGGTATCGATGCTATTAAGTTCAAACTGAAGTAAGTTGACTTCAGTAAGTTGACTTTCAACCACAAGTTCACTTGTGGTTGAAAGTCAACGGGGTGGGGAGACAGAAAAAAGTCCTGTTGTATCACGAGTGAGGTCAAATTTAATCAGAAACTTTTTTTGTTTGTTAGTATTTACGTTTAGTTTTATAAAAACCTATTTTAACCCTAAAAATTCAGCTTATTTTCTAATTTATAATTTCAGTATAACAGTTATTTTTAAAGAAAATATCACATTTGATAGCGTTGCAATAATTTTAACTTCGTATTCATATAACGTCTAGAGGTAATTTCAAGGTTTTCTAAACGTAAATAACACGCAAAACCTTTACACTTTAATATAAATATTATACGTTATCGAATAGATATATAGGTTTGATGAGTAATAAATACTACATATGAAAAGTGTATAGAAGAGTGTATATGAGAATGGAGAGAAAAGAAAAAAGTAACCCATTCGATACTGTTGGTGTTTTCTCTCGTATATTTTTCTGGTATGTATTATTATTTTCTCTCATTAATAATTGAATTTTTTAATACAATTAACTACAAAGTTATTTACTCAAGAGTAATCTTTTAAGACAAAACCTTTTCATATTTTCATTCCGTTATTTCATGTTATAATCCATGCATATTTACAAATTTTATATTATTATTGTATTTAATTTTCCTATTTCCACCATATGGAAGCTAACACCGCAAATCTTCCCGTGTTTGCAAAATTGAAAAAACATACAGTATATATTGATGGGGATTTATAGATTCTTAAGATAAATCAAATAGATTTATATAAAATTATTTAGTTTATCAAACACGAGATGTAGTCTGTGTTCGATGCGTGTTTAATTATTTATTTAACCTAATATATTATACAAAATATAATTAAAAACTTCATTTTATTAGTTATTTAAAGTTAATTTTTCAAGTGAGCAGTAAAGAATTTTATCGTTTATATTATTATAACTCGAACAATTAACAAACGTTTTACGTTGCTATTAAGATAAAATTATCGCATGAATGTAGAATTACAGAGCATTATACTTAATGAAAAAATACTTATTATTACATATACGAATAATATCTCAACAGATGAAATAAAAATAAAATATTCTTTATATTTAATGCTAAACTATTTTATGTAATGTACTGTACGTGTTGGATGTTTCCTTATAAAAATCCGTTTGTTGACAGTACACATTTGCATAATTTAAAATCGTTCATAGCACGTCGCAATTAGTATGGAAGACGTTTTATTATGAGAATATTTATAAGGTAGATATATTTATTCCTTATAAATCTTCGATAGTAGTTTTATAATATCAATNTACTTTAACATTGTGTAAATCCTTTGTAATCTTTTGCAATAAAAAAGCATTAATTACAGCCCATCTTAGGCATGTTACAGGATCCGTACCTTGGTAAGTTTGAGTAAAGAAAAAAGTGAATCTGCGTACTAACACTACTAACACTGCATGCTGTCAACATGGTCTTTAAATTAACCATTTCATTAATTAATAAACTTTAGCGTAAATAAGTACGCATGTTTTAAAATATTAGTTGCTGCTTGCCCGTTCAATTGCATGCTATTATTATTTTACATTTTGTAAATTGTTAATAATTATGTTCTATTTTTATTTATTTATTGATTATATATATATATAATAAATAATTATATATATTATGCATTTTTAGACATAATTATATGTAATTAACATATATATATAATTAAGTATCTTTGTTTATACAGTTAACTTCAGTGAAAGAGATAATTGATCCTTAAAGTAGAAAAAAGTAGTTTTTGCAAATCTATTTTGTGAACTTCAACATCGTGTTCAAGAGAGGTAATCAAGGGTATGCAACCTGTCCCAGGTGGTCTTACTACCAGCTTTTTCTGTATCTGGGTACTAGAATCTCCTACCGAGTTTCATGAAACAGCACCCTCTACTAGACCTTACACCTCATACTCAAAAAAGTCAGGCCAGTAGTTTATAGTGCTATGCGCTTACAACCATACAGGTTGTAAACGCATAGCACTCTGAACATATAAACTGTATATAGCGCATAGCACTATGGCACAATTTTAATGTATTACATGAACTGCTATGCACTCCATATAATACATTAAAACGGTAGCAGGACGTTTATGGACACCACTGCTGCCGAAGCGAGTGCCTTTCCCGAGCAAAAAGTGACACCGTAGAAACCTATAATAAAACTTATATAAATCTCTATACAATTAAAACCTGTATAAACCTGTATCCACTTAAATCCTATATGGTGTATATATAAAACCCTTATACCCAGGTGAAAAATATCTATATTTAAACCTATATACCGTAAAAATTAGTGCATCTAGACCGACGCCATAAAATCTAATTGAAACCATAAAATTAATATATTTATTTAAAAAAAACGGATTCTACACCAACCCTTAAGACGTTTCACCTGGTCGATAAAGATCAGTGTGGGGCTGTCGACACCCTCCAACACTATGTTGGATTCAACACTTTGAAAATGTTGCATTCTGTAAAGTCTGCACCAATTTAGTGCGCCCTAAGAAGTTATACAATGGTTTTCATAGAGTTTTACTATGATAAGATACCGTAAATTAAAACACTTAAAAATAAACTTTTATGTATAATTCACAGAGTCCTGAAACTGCAGCGCAATTCTTTCTTATGCTCTGCTTTAACATACAGAAGCTTTTAGTACACCGTTCTGCGATATAAGTAACGTGTGGATTAATATTCATGTTGGTCCCGATAATCTGCTCTATAGTTAATTCAGCAGCCCGCAATTTTTGATTACTTAATACCTTATCAAAGTCTTCTTTAGAAAGAAAGGTCACTCCGCTCCTCGAGCTTATTTTTTGCGGATGCTACTAATCAGCACATTATTTTTTCTTGAATTTTGTGAGATCCGAAAGGCCCTGGGTCTAGTTTGTGAATCTTTATTAAATATGTTTAAATATAGACACGAAATATTACTTCGTTTTTGTGAAAAAAATATTGTTTTAGACGTGGGAAAAACCAGATAACAAATGTTATTTCCTTTCATCGAAGAGAACATCCTCTGTTTTTCTGTATCTGGTTAAAAATTTCGCTCAGATCGGAAATGGTTACCCCTCATTCATCCCCCTTTCGTCCGTTCTCACGAAAGAGTTACTGGACGTTGATTGGACGAAATTTTTGAAATAAAAGGAGAAATTAGTTAGAATTCGGGGAGTTCTTCGACAGATCCGAAGCATACAAACTCCACATGTTTCCCTCCTGATGGCCAACGCCCTAACCGGAGTCCGATAGACTAAGTCCCGAGTATACACTTAGAAGAAGTGATATCTTTATATTTGTGCACGAATTGATCTCCCGTATGAAAGTAAAATGAACCGATCTACAAGGTGTCCATTACCTACAGAAACGAAGACGACGACATCTAAACAGGTCGTATGTTTAGAATAATTTTGTGAGCTCTCTCTCTCGAACGCACATTAGCATAGATTCAGTCCTTGTCTATAGCTTGTCGTATAATCGTTGTTATTGGTTATTTGTATTCGTTTGTTTGAGATTTATTAAATTATACTTATGTTTATTATACAAAAAGTCTCTTAATTGGGTGTCCGAATCAGATCGCATACGCGTATTTGTCCGCGCATCGATAAATTGACAAACTGGTGTCGGGAACCTGACGAACGTCTGAACTTCACGGTTCAGATCATCTTTGTTTACGCTCTCCTATAAAAAGTTAGAGAACTGGTCTTACCGACTAGTGCCCGTAAGTGGCGTAGATTGAGCTCTGCGTCCTTGGCTAATCTCACAAGTGGTTTTCAGGAGTGGGGTTTAGAACTTAAAAATCCGTAGAAAAATCTCACACTGGTGTCACGGGAGTGGGGTCTAGAACCTAAAAATCCCCAGTGTACTCTCATCCGTAATATACTTTCACACTGGTAGCAGGAGTGGGTTTTTTTTTCGAACTAAAAACATCGTAATACACTCTCACAAGCGGATCTGATTCGGATTGAGAGACAACTAGTTGATAAGTTGAAATAAAATAGTTTTAAGTTAATTATAAGATAGAAATCAAAATGGATAGAGATAGAGAAGAACCTCCGCGAGCTACGTTAGCTGGTAATCCCATAACGTTAGGCGGATTAGGTGGAATGATTCCCCTTTTACCGGTCTTCTCAGGGGACGCAAAAAGTCCAAAAGTATCAGAATTTTTCGATACGTTAACGGATGTGACTAGAGTAGCAGCATGGTCGAAGGCACAGATGCTAGCTGTAGCTAAATTAAAATTGACTGGCATTGCCCGGGAATTCGTGCGTAAGGATGATTATGAGGAATTTAAGAAAATAATGATAGAGCGTTTTGAGAAGGTCCCTTATCCATATCGAATCCAGAAATTCTACGCGTGCGTCCAGGCCAGAGATGAGGACGTACAGACGTTCGCCGTACGACTCCAGGCCCTAGCCGAGGAGGTTGAGATTGAACACGAAGGCGCGAACGAAGCCGAAATAGAAGTCATAAAACGAGTTAAAGAAAAGGAACTAGACGAGAGGTTGAAAGTCCAATTTATGAATGGTGTAGACCTCCGGATAAGAAAAAGGATTATGTCCAGAGAACCCGAGACCTTTGACCAAGCATTGAAAATAGCAATAAATGAGGAGAATATCGAGCTCCTCACTTCCCACCCTAGGGGTCTTTTAAAGGTAATAAAAGAAGAAGAAAAATTAGCAGAGATTAAGGAAAATAAATTTAGGGAAACGGAATCTGATCCCGAAGGACAAATGGAAGAAGTAGTTAAGGCTATAGAGGATTTAAGAAATCAATTTAATACATTTGTAAAACAATCCCAGGAGAAAAGGGATAGGAATAGAGAACGAAGCGCACAATACTTCCGGCCAACGGAGCGAACTTTCGACGGAGATCGGCAACCAACTTCTGACTTCCGCAGAGCTAGAGCTCGTGCTCCGACATATAGAAATAATTATCGTTATGATTTAGATAATATAAATAGGGACGAGCCTAATAGAAATAGTCGATATGAAAATACGTGGAGAGGTGTAGTAAACTTTGTGGGTAATCAGAGAACCTCACACAAATATGAAAAGAAAGGCAAAACTATTAAAGGAGGATCGGTCAGTCTCATAAAAAGAGATCCTTACATATTAATATATGTTAATAATATCCCTGTAAAGATGGGAATCGATAGAAATTTGGAAACGACCGTCATAGATAAGGGCTTGGCGAAACGATTGGAAGGTAGAGCATCCGTAATCCTTGGAGAAAAGAACAAGATAGAGATGCACCAAGGAAAAACAATTCAGACATTAGGTGTTGCGATACCCCAGTTTAAACTCCGAGGTCATAAGTTTACAAATACTTGTAAGATAGTGCGTTCTGAAATAACAGCGCCGTGCAGGGGAATAATTGGACGTGACATATTACAGCAGGAACAAATAGAAATAGATAATCATAATGGAATGATTATACTGCCA